TCTGCCCTTCTGTACTATCAGATAACAAGACCCACCAGGCTCAGCTTGGCAAGTTTAATCAAGTGATAGGGGTGGTTGGTTCGAGAATAAGTTGTTTGATCACAATTTGGGTTGTGTGAGAGAAGAGGTTTTGAGAGTATGAGAGTGAGTTTAGTGTGTATTACAAGTGTAAGGGTTGTTATAGGGTGTTGTAAAGGTTGTTACAGTATGTAATGTTAATGGTATGGTATGTAATGGTAGGGGGTATGTGATTTGTGGGTACTAAACTGAGGGGAAAAACAACTGGGAGGAGAGCCTCCTTAAATACACAAGGGTGAGGGATTTTAGCTTCAGGGGAACAAGAGAATGAGAGATTTTAGCTGGCCAGAGCTTTACAATGAGGGGATTTAGCTAGTCAGAACATGTACATGAGGTATTTTGGCTGGTTGAGCAATCTACATGATGTAATAAGGAGAAGGGGATGATGGAGTTGCAAGCTCTGCCCTTCTATGCTATCAGAACAACAAGACCACCAAGCTTAGCTTGGCAGTTATATTTATTGTGATAGAGGATAGTTCAAGATGAAGCTTCCGATTGATGTGTATAAAGGTCTGAAGTTATAAATGAGTGATGATTATATTGATGAAGCTGTTGTTCAAAGCTTTAAAACCAAGGCGCGGAGCTCTGGGAGCGCTATGCTTCAACCAGTAATGGTATGTGAGGCAGGTTATGGGCACTTGGCACTTGTTATGATGATGAAAGTGTTATGTTTGTATTTCAATATAATGTATTGTTATGGCTGTCACTTGTATATAGTCTGTAATGTGGGTTGAGTTGATCTGGTCCTCTGGTGGGATGATGGAGGGAACAACTGGCAGGCAGAGGCCTCCTTATATAGACAAAAGTGAGGGATTTTAGCTACAGGGTACATGCAGGAGAGGGAATTTAGCTGGCCTGAAAATCCAATGAGGGAATTTAGCTAGTCTAGTACATGCAGGTGAGGGAATTTAGCTGGTCTGAACACTGCCTTGAGGGATTTTGGCTAGCCTACAAGGTCCTACTACAAAGGAATGCATGTGCACCTACAAAGGAATTCAATATGAAATATAAGCCAGTAAAGGAATTCAATATGAAATATGCATCCAGTATTCAAAATGAGACATGGTCAGAATAATAAAGAAAAGCTCCTGTGACAGCTTGAGATAAGTGTAACTTTCTGAACTAGTAGAGATAAGAGGGTAGTTGTAGTGAGTGAGTAGGGGTTATTTTATCTTAGGAATCCATTTTTTGGTTTC